TAGGTATTTGCAGTTGAAATTGAGATTCCTAGTTTTTGTTTGATGTAGATGTTGGGTATTGATTTAGAAGTGTGCCCCCCAATTTGGCTGTGCATTAGAATCACAGTGAATGCTAAGAAGAGATTGCTTATCTCGAGAGTCTTATTTAGTAGATTCTCATTCAGAGACACCTCTAATATTTAAGAAGCTCCATAGCTTTTTAAACACCAAAGCTAATGTTTTATGTCAATTACATCCCAATTTAAAAAAGCTCCATAGTTAATTCTGTTATAATAAATGGCCAGATCTGACAACTGACCTAGAAATCAGCAACACCTAATTTTAGCCCCCTAAAAAAATGGAAAAGTAGTAAACACATACCATTAGGAACTAGAACCATTATTCTACACAAAAGAGTATAGCAAAGAAAGCTAAAGGAAGCCTCAGGGAAGCTGGAATATTGTCTTGTTTTTTTTGGCCACACTGTGCAGCATGTGGATGTTAGTTCCCTGACCAGGGATCGAACTCACGCCCCCATTACACTGCGCAGTGTAAATGCGCAGTCTTAACCACTAACCACTGGATCGCCAGGGAAGTCCCTGGAATACTGTCTTTTGAAATAAGAGTTGAAGTTTGTGAGAAGAAATAAAAGGAATATTGTATTAAAATCTACAAATTTCATTGTTCATACCCTATTTACAATGTTCTCTGATTTCAACATAATTTACCTATTTTTAAACATCCAACTTTTAGGTTCCATTAAATACTACAAAGGAATTTGTTATTCAGCTCAAAATAAAATAAGCTTTGGGGAGAAAAATAAGGACCTAATTATTATATATATTAAAAATTTAATAAGTACTGTGTGATATCACTATATGTGGAATCTAAAAAATAAACTAGTGAATATAACAAAAAAGAAAACGACTCACAAATATAGAGAACTAGCAGTTACCAGAGTGAAGGGGGAGGGGCAAGATAGGAGTAGGGGATCAAGAGGTACAAACTGCTATGTAGAAAATAAATAAGCTACAAGGATATATTGTACAGCACAGGGAATCTAGCCCATATTTTATAATAACTATAAATGGATTATAGCCCTTAAAAATTGTGAATCACTGTGGTATACCTGAGACTTACATATATTTCACTATATTTCAATATTAAAAAAAGAAAAAAAAGATTCTCACAGAATAGTTTAACCTAAAATAAACAATTTTAGATTCTAGTTATATTTTCCTGGCTGTCTTTCTTTACAGCCTATTTAACATCTAACGAATGCTTCGAGGGGTTTATACAAAACATTCAGGAAGATATAAGGAGGCATCTAAGCATGTCTACAAATGGAAAGGTTTAGCTGACTAAAGAGGTAATCTGGAGGTAGAAATGGAAAATCAGACTAGTGTCAAGAAAGGCCTGAACTTCTACTGTAGGAGTAGGAAGTTTCCTCCTACTCTTATATGGGGTCAGCTCTCTGAAATAATGAACACTTTGTTGGGCAGGTGGGGAAGAGCAAGTTAAAGAATAAGAGCAAAAATGCACCCATGGGGTGCCCCAGTGAGGGATTAGAGGTGAGCACCAAAGGGAAAGAAAGAATGCTTGGGAAGTAAGAGGGTCTATAGGCAGAAAAGAGTAGAGACGGTTACCAAAATCCACTTAATTCTTGTCCTGGAGTTGGTCCTACTCCCTCCTCTAGAACTAGATGAAAGAGCTGGTTTACAGGGGATTAGAGGAACAACCTGACTTATCACCCCACTTTGGAAAAATTGAGGTAGAGATAGATGGAGGACTAGCCAATTTTACTCATTGTAACCATAAGCTTCCTACTTAAAAGGGTTTTGAGTCTCTGGAATGCTGAGATGCCCACTTCAGTGTGTTCTGAAACCTGTTTCACTTGAGAAACTTCCTTCATAGTCAGTCCCTCACTTACCTTGAAATCCCGTGCAATCTGGTTTTTACATCTTGCCTATTTCATTAAAATTGCTCTCCTGAATATTATCAATGACTCCTTGCCAAAACCAGTGTGCTTTTCTTAGCCTCTTAATCGCTATTGGCCCACATAATTCTTTTTTTTTAATTGAATTTTTTTTTAATTTTATTTATTTATTTTTGGCTGGTTGGGTCTTTGTTGCTGCTCACGGGCTTTCTCTACTTGCGGCGAGTGGGGGCTACTCTTCATTGTGGTGCACAAGCTTCTCATTGTGGCTTCTCTCATTGCGGAGCACGGGCTATAGGCATGCAGGCTTCAGTAGTTGTGGCACACGGGCTCAGTAGTTGTGGCTCACGGGCTCTAGAGCACAGGATCAGTAGTTGTGATGCACGGGCTTAGTTGCTCCACGGCATGTGGGATCTTCGTGGCCCAGGGCTCAAACCCGTGTCCCCTGCATTGGCAGGTGGACTCTCAACCACTGCACCACCAGGGAAGCCCGGCAGGCAGATTCTTAACCACTGCACCACCAGGGAAGCCCAGGCATTCTTTTATAATTATCAGTTTATTAACGTTTTCTAACTCTTCAGCCAATTTTTAAAAAATTTATATTTTCCTAAAAATTGTCCAAGTCTGGGCTTCCCTGGTGGCGCAGTGGTTGAGAGTCCGCCTGCCAATGCAGGGGACACGGGTTCGTGTCCTGGTCCGGGAGGATCCCACATGCCACAGAGCGGCTGGGCCTGTGAGCCATGGCCGCTGAGCCTGCGCGTCTGGAGCCTGTGCTCCGCAACGGGAGAGGCCACAGCAGTGAGAGGCCCGCGTACCGCAAAAAAAAAAAAAAAATGTCCAAGTCAATTTTCAAGATTATAAGGTTACACTAAATAATTCACTTGTTTTCAAAGTCCCTAATATCTGTAATGTGTTCCCTTTGCTTCTGATATTGTTTTCTCTCTTCTTCTTCCTCAGATTTGCTGTCTGTTTATTGTTCTTTTTGAACATCAGCTACTATTATGATCAATTTTATTTTCTATTTCTTTAACTTCTGCTTTTATTTTTAATTCCTTTCAAGTTTATTTTGGGAGATTTTACTTTTTCTGCTTCTCTATGTTTCTGTTTCCTTTTCTGATCCTTTCCACCAAGTGTGTATCCTTTAAGAGTGTGCTGCCTTATTCCCTCAGCCTCAGTGTGTTTATCCATACAACAGAGCAAAAAAGTAATGCCTTTACCATTATTATATAAGTGGCTACAAACACTGTATTAATTTGGAGTTCAGTCATAGTGGGTTCCAACTCCCCACCACCTACTTATGGGATCTTGGCCAAATCTTGATTTCTTCACCTGTAAAAATAGAAATAATAATACAGATTAAGACTATTTGCAAATCATTTAGCATAAAAACTGGCCCATATTAATAACTCAATAGATGTCTGGTAAGACAATAGGCCTCAGTTGCCCCATTTCCAAAAATGAGGGCATTGGGCTGACTAATCCCAAATTCCTTTCCAACTGAAAAATTTTACTTTTCTTACTTTTCTTTTGGCCACGCCAAGCAGCATGCAGCATCTCAGTTCCCCGACCAGGGATCAAACCCATGCCCCCTGCAGTGGAAGTGCAGAGTCTTAACCATTGGACCACCAGCAAAGTCCCTGAAAAATTTTACTTTCAATCTATCAGTTCATCCACCAGACAATCAACCAACCATCAACCCACTTACCCACACAACAGTTAGTAATTCCTTCCCTTCAACTAAGTATTCTAAATGTTAGGAATGCCATGATGAATAATGATACAGTTTCCACCTTCCAGAAGGTCAGAGTCCCTGGGGGGTAGGGGTGAGAACCACCTGTTAAACAGGTAATTGTAATACAATATGATAAGTGGTCTAATAAAGGATGTGGGAATTCAAGAGATTTCGAGGAGTATGCACAGCAAAATCAAAGATCTAGGTTGGAAACCTAATGCGAGGACTTAATACTAGCTGTGTACCCTCAGGCAATTAACTTTGGTGCTGTACTTCTCTAACTGTAGAAAGGAACAGTAATACTATCCTGGTAGGTTAGGTGAAGGACTAAACAGAAAAACTAATATAAAGCGCTTAGTACAGTGCCAGATTCATCATAAGAACTCAACAAATGGAAGTTATTAATGTTACAAGAGGCCATGGAAGTTAAAGAAAGGCATTTACTGTATTTCAAGAGAGGAAAGGTAGGGTCGGGGGAATTTGCCAGCTGTGTTCACTAAACAAAACCTGTGGCAAAAGGATAGGAAAAAACAGGGTAAAAGGAGAATCAAGGTGGGTGATGCCCTTGGAGGGCAGAGAATTCTAATTTCTGTATTTTCAGCTGCTAGCACAAGACCTGACCCATATAGTTGCTATAAATATGAATGGAAGAATACACGTTATGCAGTAGGCTTGCAGAAAAAGATCTGGGCCAAAATGTTGAAAGTAAACATTTTACAGTGAAAGGAACCTTGGAGTCAGGAGACCTGGTGCAGCCTTTTGACTGATGACCTGTTTTTATACTGGCTTCACAACTTACCTGCTGTTGGATCTTAGCAAATTACTGATACCTTGAATCTCCTCACCTGTAAAATGGGGATAACACCTACCTTACAAAATTAGTGTGAGAATTAGTACCAAGCGATTATCAAAGAGCCTGGCAGTAGTAACACGCAACAATGATAGCGCTGCAGCTGCTAACTCCTCCGTTAGGTCTTTTGTCCATACTTATGAAATGATAGGGTAAGAATATATTTTCTCCAATGCTCCAACCAGCACTGAAAAATGACACTCGGTTTGCCGAGGATAAAAGGCCCTGCCCGGCCCGAGGCACACACGCAGGTCACCTACATCGACTGCAGTCCTGGAGTCTCCACGTGCGTCGCCGAGCCACGGCGGGCGCGACCTATGCCAGGCCGTTATAGAGGCGGGGCCTAGACAGGCTGAATGTGAGACCGAGCGGAACTTCATCGAAAACCGGTCCATTCCACAATCTCTAGAGGAGAAGCTTAGAGGTTAAAAAACAAAAAACAAAAAACAAAAACCAAACAAACAAAAAAAAAATTTGCAGGGAAGCCGGAAGTGACGCATGACCGCGAGGGAGCGGAAATGACCGCAGCACGCCGGAAGTTTACTCATTTCCAAGGCGACGGCTCCACCATCGCTGCAACGGCTGGAGTCGGGACGCTGGAAAGCGACTTAGAGGAGAGGGTACTCGCCGACGGCGGCCGCCGCCACAGTGAATCGCGGGGAGTAGCAACCGAAGACGGCGGCCGCCGCACCAGCCATCGCGTGTGGAGGATAAACGGCCTGCACGGCCATCGCGGCGACCAATCCAGGGAAAGAGTTAGCGAAGGCCAGGGCTTTAGTCGTAGCGAAGACAGGGAAGGAATCCGTGAAGGCAGCGACCACCGCTGCAGGGTACCGACGGGAAGAGCAAGTGAAGACGTCCGCTTCTCCCGCAATGACTCAAGAAGGGTCAGTGAAGACCTGGGCCACCGTCGCAGTGTCTCTCAGGAGAGAGTCAGGGGAGACCGTGGCCACCGTCCCAGCAACTCTTGGGAGAGAGTAAGGGGAGACCGCAGCAGCGACGTGAGTTTAAGTGAAGTCGGAAGCCACCCCACTAGTGACTCCGGGGGAACGGTCAGAGAAGACCGCGGCCTCCATCTCAGTGGGACTTGGGAGGGAGTCAGGGAGCTCCGGGGTCCCCGAACCAGCGACTCTGGGGAGAGAGGCAGTGACGACCACAGCCGCCGCCTCAGTGGCTCTTGGGAGGGCGGAAGTGTGGATGGCGGCCGCAGCCTCAGCAATTCCTGGGAGGAGGGGGTGAGTGAAGACCGCGGCTATGTGGCCAGCGACTCCTCCGTCGTGAGCGTCAGCGAAGACGCCAGCCGCCGCCGCTTCTGGGAGAGAGAAAGCGAAGACGAAGGTTCCCGCTGCCGGGGCTCCTGGGAGAGAACGACGGAGGACGGCGTCCCCGGGCCTAGCGACGACGAGGAAGACAGCCGCTGCTGCACTGGCTCGTGGGTGACAGCGAGCGAAGACCGCCGCAGCAGCAGGGGCCTGGACTCGACTCCTCCCCGGAGTCCGAGGGGTCGCACCATGCCCGGGGTGTCCGGTTCAGGCCCCTTCACCTTCTGCACGGAGACTGCGACCCCGCGTGAGTCAGATTACTTCACTGGCCCTCATCTCTGCCACACTCCTTTTCTCACTTCAGCTCACAGGAGCTTCGCCCCTTCTGGCAGTTCCCTTTCTCACCTGTCACTCCTCATTTCCCTTAATTGATCTGTTTTCAGTAGGTCACAGAGCTGCTCACCTGGCCCCCATCCTTCCTCATTTCAGCTTTACTTCCTTTTTTATTTTTCTATCTGCGCGCATTCCTGAGACTTCGTTCCCAGCTGACATCAACTCTTGTTAAAATGTATGGACCCTTTTAAGTTCTACCGTCTCTGCAGTATTTGACTCTGGAGATAATGTTAGACTTATCTCATTTTCTTCCTTCCACTCTGCTGACTCTATCTATCTATCTATCTACCTACCTACCTATCTATCTACTTATCTACCCTGAATTTTCTTCTATCCTCTTTTTAAAACGTTGCTTTGTCCCTTGGATAGTGCCATCATTAGTGCTTTTTTCCTTGTCATGTACTATGGCTTCAACCCTAGTGACGACCCCGGAATCTGTTATTCATTCAGTCATCCAGTAAATATTTATTGAGTGCCTATTATGTGCTTTGTCTTAAGGATACGTAAGCAAAGAAGACAGGCACATTCCTTCCTTCTAGTGGGGAAGATGAATACTCAACAAGTAATTACTGGTGTGATGAATGCTATAAAGAAGAATAGAGAGCCGTTGGCTCCAGTATAGCGTGAGGTTGGGGATCAGAAAAAGCTGCCTAATACTGAGACACAGCTAACACTGAGAACTCAACTCCAGGCCTCTCACTGGAGCTGTAGACTCATATGTACAACTCCTTTCTGGAACTCTTCCATGGGCACCTCAAGATCAACACATTCAGAATATAATTTTGTATTCATATGCCCTCTCTGTCCTTTCGTGTTCGCTGTCTCAGTGGCAGTACGCCACTTATGTAACTAAGCCAGACACCTTGGAGTTGTCCCGTTACTTTTCCCTTATTTCACCCACTATATCCATCCAAGTTCAATTCATCCTGCTTCCTTAATACATGTTGAATCTGTCTCCTTTTCTGTTCCTACTGCCATTCACTTGGTTGAGGGTCTCAACCTCTCTGGTGTAGACTACTGTAGATATCTTCCTACATGGTCTCCTTGAGTCTATACTCTTGCGCTTTGCTCAATGAATTCACCTTACTGCAGCCAGCCATATACAAAGCATTACAAATCTGATCATTCTTATTCTTCTGCTTAAAATCCCTCAATGACTCCCCACTCTGCTCAAGTTCAGCAAGTTCCAGCACAGCCTGCCTCTTGTCTAATTCTAGCCTCTTTTCCTTCCACTTTATGCTTCAACAATAGGGTGGGTATTTTTATAGTTTCTTGACCTGTCCAGGATGCCTTTCCCCACATCCATTTCACCTGGCAAATTCCTGCTAATCCTTGAAGATTCATCTTAGGTGTTACCTTCTCTAGGAATCTTTTTCTGCTCTCCTTCCCTCCTACCCTAGCTAAGTTAGAAGTCTTCTGTGCTTTCATAACTTCTTATGAATATTTCTGTCATTGCTCTTACTACATTGTTTTGTAATTGTGTTTGTATATCTCTGTGAGTCCCTTGAGGATAGAGATCATGTCTTATCTTTTTATCCTTATGGTAGATACCAGATTAATGTTGAGTGGATAGATGGGTGGATGAATGAATAAATTGGAACGGAATGTGGTGAGAAAAAAGGCTGTCAAATTAGATGGAGCCAAATTATGGGAGGGCATAGACTGTCATACTGAGGGCTTGGATTTGGTTCTCTAGACTAGCAGTGGATAACCAGAAGCAGTTCAGAGTGGAGGAATGAAGTGATCAGAATAGTGTCCTTGTATACGATGGATTAGAGCGTCCCTGTATAAAATGTATTAGGGTGGGTAGAACGTCATTTGCAGTACTAATTTAAAGGAGAATAATGGAAGGCCCTGGAGGTCCAGTGGTTAAGACTCTGTGCTTCCACTGCATGGGGCACGGGTTCGATCCCTGGTCGAGGAGCTAAGACCCCACATGCCTTACAGCATGGCCAAAATATAAAAAAACAAACATAAAGGAGAGTAATGAAGGTCTGACCTAGGGGATTAACATCATTAAACATTTACCAAGTGGTTTGGTTTTCTCGGGGTGCTTCCTTACTCTCTTTCCAGTATGCATAGATCTTAATTGTTCTTCAAAGACTTGCTCGAGTGTTTCCTCCTCCACCTTTATTTTACCTGTAATCTCTTAGGATGTTACTGTCAGGTTTTCGATTTCATCGAATTTATCCCAATAGATTTTAAAGTGTCAGTGGAAAGAAAATGTCTTAAATCCATGTCTATTCATTGTGTTATCATAGCGCCTGGCATATGGTACATGCTCAAAGGACTTTTGAGTAAGATGCATAGCATTTTGCTAAGGGTTGGTATAAGAAATGATTTCAGCTGTCAAGAAATGAACATGCTAATTGTGGAGAGAGGACATATACATAGATATAAATAGTAATACAAGGCTGCATAGATTATCTGCCAGAGGTGTTGGTGAGTTCTTTTCAAAACAATTTGAGTTCAGGAATTGTGCCTGTTTGTTTGGTTTAGGAAATGCTTTGATTGAACTATTTACCTCTTCCTTCTCCAACAACTGTCTGTTCGTGCTTAGATACTATTACTTCTGGTTCACAATGCACATTAAAATATTTCACGGTACAGTAAGGCTGACAATCCAGTCTTGATGTTTGGAACATTATATTATAAAATATAAGACGCTAGAATGTATGAAGTAAAAATTGTGACCTGCCATTCCTTTCTTAGTGTAGGACATATGAGGAAGATATGAAAAATATTAGTAAAATATATCTGCCTATGTGAGATAAGGTTCTGGTAAAGTCTTTTTCACTGGAGAGTAGGCCTTTGTTACAGAGAATAGCTGGGCAGATTTCAAAATGGTTACCTCTCTCCCCCTTTACCAAAGACATGAAGTGATTTTTCTTGGTTTTTCACAGTGATAACCTGGTGGCGTTTTGAAGGTAAAATCTATGAAAATGAGGGGACCTCCTAAGACTATGGCCCCGAGGAGTTTCTCACTGTTAGGCTACTACATACCCAGTCCCCAGCAATTTGTCAAAATTACTATTTAAGTGCTTTTAGAAGCTTATGGTTCTAGTGACTTCTGCTCCAGGTAAGCTGAACTTGACTGTGTTTCTCTGTATTTGCCTGTCTCTCCAAATTCAGGGTGGCCGTTTGCCCCGAGACCTCAATTCTTTGATGAGTGCAAGAAAAGTTGTTGACTTTGTTTGTTCTGCTTTTTTCCTGTATGGATGGGGGTGACAACGTCCGTGCTCTTTACATATTAGAGCTGAAATTGAAGTCAGATTAAGATGTTAATCACAAACATCTTTGTAGTAAATTATTTGGAAAGCCAAAGTGATTTTGTACTTTCAGTTCAGTCGTTGCTTTAGTCTTTTTTTAGTTTTGTAATATATTTTAAGCAATTTTGTTTTTCAGTGGGTGCCAGGAAGAAAGTGCATTTTGGTAGCATACATGATGCAGTACGCGCTGGAGATGTAAAGCAGCTTTCAAAAATAGTAGAACGTGGTACCAGCATTAATGAAGTTGACGTTCTCCATAAACTTACCCCTTTACATTGGGCAGCACATTCTGGCAGTTTGGAGGTAAGAAACTATATAAGTTATTAAACTGAGGTAAGTTTAGCGCTGTTGACAGTTTTGTAAATTTAGCAAACAGGACTGAGGCCTTATGCTAGGCACTGAAAATATTTTTCTTTTCTTTTTTTAAAAAAATTTATTTTATTGAAGTATAGTTGATTTACAATGTTGTGTTAATTTCTGCTGTACAGCAGAGTGATTCAGTTATACATTTATATACAAATATTTTTCTTTTCAGTTCAGTCTAACATTTGGGTGTTCTGGTTACCTTAGTAATAAGTTATCCTAAAACTTGGTGGTATAAAATAACTATTTATTTATGCTCAGGAGTGAACCAGGAATTTGGATTTCAGGGACAGCTTGTCTCTACTCCATGATGTTTGGGGCTCCACCTAGAAGATTTAAAAGCCAGGGCTGGAATCTTCTGAAGGCTTGTTCATGCAGACATCTGGTAGTAGATGCTGGTTGTAGACTGCGCCCCTTGATCCCTCTCCACGGGGGTCTTTTTGTGAGGTCCCCACATGTGGGTTAGTCTGTGCTTCCTCACAGGGTGGCAGCTGGGTTCCTAAGGCAAGCATACAGGGTAACTTGCAGAGGATAACGTAATGCATACCTGGCTGTATGAAATCCTAATATTTTTGCTGTAGTTGCTTCAGATTTTTGGAAAAGAAATGGAGTATCACAGATACATTTGAAGTCCCCGAGCACCCCTCCCAGGTGTCATTTCTCTCCTTCCAACTCCAGAGATAACTATTACCCTGAATTTGGTGTTTATTATTACCATATATGTTTTATGCTGTTATTACATATGATTATATCACTGTTTTAAAGAACATGTTTTATATAAATGTCATCATATTATTTGTATCATTCTGCAGCTTGCTTTTTTTGTTCAACAATGTGTTTTTGAATTTTAACGACGTGGTTACATATATATACTCTAGTTCATTCCTTTCAGCCATGTTGTAATAGTCTATTCTTAGATGAATATCAGAATTTATCGATTTTTTTGATTGATGGATATTTCATTGGTTTCAATTTTTCACTAGTACAAGCAGTGTTTAGTGAATATTGTTATGCACAACTTCTTTTTTTATTAATTTATTTTATTGAAATATAGTTGATTTACAGTGTTGTCTTAATTTCCGCTGTATGGCAAAGTGATTCAGTTATACGTATGTATATATATTATTTTTCATATTCTTTTCCATTATAGTGTATCACAGGATATTGAATATAGTTCCCTGTGCTGTACAGTAGGACCTTGTTGTTTATCCATTCTGTATATAATAGTTTGCACCTGCTAATCCCAAACTCCCAATCCACCCTCTCCCACCCCCCTCCCCCTTGGCAACCACAAGTCTGTTCTCTATGTCTGTGAGTCTGTTTGTGTTTCATAGATAAGTTCATTTGTATGCACAACTTCTTATCCTTGGGCTGTGTGCAAAGCCAACTGGAATTTTTCTCACAATTCATGGTTGTGTGTGGGGAGCTTATTTTAGCTATTACATTTCTCCAGTCTGTAGGCTGCAGTAGGTCTATTCACTATGCAACTCTCTTTTTTCTCTGCCACACAAACAGAGTCTGCTTTCCATGAATATGGCTCCTCTGTGTGATTTCTTTGTTTGGGCTTTTCTGCTTTTTGGAACCAAATCTGGTCCAAAGAATCTCTCTGCACCAGTTTGTGTGCCCCACTTGAACTGTAGGGGTTTTTGCTTTGGCCTTTTAGTGGCTTCCTCTCACCTGGGAGAAATGTGCCTTGACGGGTCTTTCTGTGCTTGCAGCCCTGCATGGGGATTTTCTCTGGTGTTTGCTCCCACATTCCTGTTTGATCTATATTTTGGCAGCTTTCCCATCTGTTTTGTGGTTTCAGATATCTCCTAGCTTCATCAAAGATGGGGTTTTCTTGCTCTTTTTTAAATTTTTTAAATGATTTTGAAGAGAGGAGGAAATACTGATTTTACTCTGCCATATTTGAAATAAGATAGGACTTGTTGCTATACCATTTATTTCATCTCTTTCCTGGGATCTTTTCAGCTTCTCTGATTAACCTACCCTGCCTTCTCTAAAATTAGTGGTTTTCTTTATGCTCTTGCCAATGGGTGTCTCTCTTCAACTTTACACTCTCTCTCCAGGCCATTTTTAGACTTCCTTGGCTTAATCACTTCTACATAATAATTCATTGATTCGCTTTCTCTCCAGAATTTGAATTCTGGTTTCTGCATCCGGCGCTTATCAACAGCTCATACATATCTGACTGGCATCTTAAATTTAGTTGGTCTAAAACTAAACTGTTATTCTTTTCCCTCCCTTTCTTAGTTTTCCAGGCTAATGTCCTTTGCATCATATTGAGTTGTGTCAGGATTTTACAGAAGCAAAACACAGTATCAGCATTTGTCTAGGTCAAGTGCTTCATGATGCACATTGATGTAGTGAGAACTGATCCCTAAGTCAGTTGATTCTGTTCCATCTTTGTCTCTCAAATTTGTCCTTTACACCTTCATAGCCACTGCCTTAGAGCTACTTGATTTCCTTCTTTCCTCTCTTGTCTACTTCTAGTTCATAACGGGCATACAAAATTATTGCTCTAAAACAAAAATCTGCTATTACTTAAAACCTTCCTTAAGTCCCTGTAGTGACTCTCTATACCCTGTAGGATGAAGTTTAAGCTATTTAATATGGTAGACTTACCTCTCCAACCTCATCTCCCATCAGACTTGTTTCATGTTGCAGTACTGGTGACTACTCTCATTTCCCAAACTAGTCCACTGTTTCATATTATCATAGACTGTGTACATGCCGTTTCATCTGGCTGGTCTCACCTCTTCCCAGTGGTTAGCTTGTTGAAATCCAGGTCAGGTAGCACCCACTTGGCAGGGCCTTCTGTGTTTCCCCCCTCAGTATCCTCCAACTAGCAACTTTTCCCTCAATTTTATACACATTTAAAAAATTGTATTTATCACATTGAATTGCATTCTCTGTTAGATATTTTTTAATATTCTTTTATAAAAAAAAATAGTTATTTATTTGTTTTTTATTTATTTGTCTGTGCCGGGTCTTAGTTGCAGCATGCGGGATATAGTTCCCTGACCAGGGATCGAACCCGGGCCCCCTGAATTGGGAGCACGGAGTCTTAACCACGGGACCACCAGGGCAGTCCCTCTCTGTTAGATTTTGAGCTCTTTGGGGCCTCCCTGGTGGCACAGTGGTTGAGAGTCCGCCTGCCGATGCAGGGGACACGGGTTCGTGCCCCGGTCCGGGAGGATCCCACATGCTGCGGAGCGGCTCGTCCCGTGAGCCATGGCCGCTGAGTCTGCGCGTCCGGAGCCTGTGCTCCGCAACAGGAGAGGCCACAACAGTGAGAGGCCCGCGTACCGCAAAAAAACAAAAATAAAAACAATAGATTTTGAGCACTTTGAAGGTACCATTTCGATTTTATTTATCTTTTTTCCCACAGCATCTAGCATAGTGTCTGGCATATTAGAGTCACATTGCGGGTTCCCAATAAATGTTTGTTGTATTGATGAATTTGTTGAATTAAATTTATATTTTTACTGTATAGCATAGTGCATAGCAGCTGTTCAAGAAATGTTTGTTAAATTTTAACAAAAATAAATCTAAATCAAAAGGTTTTGGCGACTTTCTACTTTCCCATTTGAGGATCATCTCCTAATTCTCTACTTGAGTACTGCATTAATACCTTTACATTTTGTTATCCTTTCTGAAATTTCTTAAGACTCATGGTACTATGTTGGTAGTATAAAATGATCACTAAATTAACAGCTGGTGAAAATTGTGCTTTGTTAGACTTCATTTTTTTTCTCCTGTCAGATGAAATCAGCTTTTGAGCCCCTGTAGTAAACTTTTATTTCAGATATACTTTGCACCTTCAGAATTTTCTTTTTTTTTAAATTCTGTCTCTTTATTTTCTATTTGATGAATCATTGTCATCATATTTTTGTTTGATTCATTAAACATAAATTTTTAAAAATTAATTAATTTATTTGGCTGCATTGGGTCTTCATTGCTGCATGCGGGCTTTCTCTAGTTGCGCGAGCGGGAGCTACTCTTTGTTGCAGTGCGCAGGCTTTTCATTGTGGTGGCTTCTCTTGTTGCGGAGCCCAGGCTCTAGGTGTGCGGGCTTCAGTAGTTGTGGCACGTGGGCTCAGTAGTTGTGGTGCACAGGCTTAGTTGCTCCACAGCATGTGGGATCTTCCTGGACCAGGGCTCCAACCGGTGCCCCCTGCATTGGCAGGGGGGTTTTTAACCACTGTGCTAACAGGGAAGTCCCAACATAAATTCTTTAAAAAATAATTTCTTTTAGTTCTCTAAAGCTATATGTAATAGCTGCTTTGAAGTCTTTCTGAGCTGAGCATCTGGGCCCTCTCAGAGATGGTTTCCTTTTTTTTTCTTTTTTGTCCACACCTCATGGCATGTGGGATCTTTGTTCCCTGACCAGGGATGGGACCTGTGCCCACTGCATTGGAAGTGTGGAGTCTTAACCACTGGACCGCCAGGGAAGTACCTCAGAGATGGTTTCTATCGATTCCTTTTTATTCCTGTGTATGTGTTATACATTCTTGTTTTCTTTGTATGTCTCATAATTTTTTAGTTTGGACATTTTGAAAACTGGACATTTTATTTTTATTTTTTGCAGTGCTTAGTATTTATTAGGTGCCTTGAGTTTTGGTATGTATTGACAAAGTATATTGTCTATTCCTCACAATAACTTTGATATTAGAATTCTTTTTTAAAAAATTTTATTGAAGTATAGTTGATCTACAATGTTGTGTTAATTTCTGCTGTACAGCAAAGTGACTCAGTTATACATATATATATATCCTTTTTATTTAATATTTATTTATTCTAGGCTGTGTTGGGTCTTTGTTGCTGCGCACGGGCTTTCTCTGGTTGTGGCGAGTGGGGGCTATTCTTCGTTGCGGTGCGTGGGCTTCTCATTGCGGTGGCTTCTCTTGTTGCGGAGCATGGGCTCTAGGCATGGGGGCTTCAGTAGCTGTGGCACAGGGGCTTAGTTGCTCCACGGCATGTGGGATCTTCCCAGACCAGGGATCGAACCCTTGCCCCCTGCAGTGGGAGCGTGGCGTCCTAACCACTGGACTGCCAGGAAATTCCCCTCTTGTTTTTATTTTTAAGCCTGGCTTCATAGGGGTCACCCCTGGGTCAGCATAGCTTAGTGATCAGCCAGTGATTAATCAGAGGTTGTGCCTAAATACCTTGAGCCAGTAAGGAGTCCATCTTTTGCTGATAGATCTGTGTGTGGTTTGGGGAATGTTTCCAAAGTCCAAGCAGTTTACAAGTCAGCCTGGCTTTTTTTTTTTTTTTCCCCCCCTGTGTTTTCAAGGCCTTATGTCTAGCCAAGAATGTCTAGCCAACTTGGGACCTCTTCAGTCTTTCCTGAGTATGAGTGACTTTGTACATGTACACAGCTTTTTATATCACAAGGGATAAGTGGAATCTTAGCAAGGCCCACTTTGGCTGTCTCATTTCTTGTATTTTTCTGTCAATTTTCTAGGTGGTTTTTAGTTTTGTTGTTTGCCCCAACAAGTATCATGACTTCAGGCTAGCTCTGATGTTGGCTTTCCTAAATTGTTGCCACTGAGGATTAGAATTGTTTTTGAAAATGTGCCTGGGCATGGACTTTTCAGTCCCTCCAGCAGGGCAGTGGAGCTGTCCACCTGGGTAGAACTTATGCATCATGACGCTACGGGTAAGGATCCTTGTAGTCCCAGGCTACTCTGCCACGGGCTCTCTCTGTTCTAACTGAGAATCAGTAGATTTTTCTTGAATAAATGCTTCTCATTTTGTTGTATGCCTTCCAGAGTCTTTAAATGGTTTTTTTTTGGCCACACCACGTAGCATGTGTGATCTTAGTTCCCCAACCAGGGATCAAACCTGTGCCCCCTGCAGTGGAAGCTTGGAGACCTAACCACTGGACTGCCAAGGAATTCCCTAAATGGTTGTTTTTGACAACTTTGTCTAGCTTTGTCATTGCTTCTTGGGGGAGGATTTACCAACCTCCTCACTTAGTCATTTCTGAAGACCTGCTGATTGGTCAGTTGATTTTTGACAAAGATGCAGAGGCAATCTAATGGAGAACAGATAGTATTTTTATTAAATGGTGCTGGCACAGTTGGACAGTCATACGTAAGAAAATGAGCCTCAACTCATACTTGGTACCATATGTAAAAATGTACTGAAAGCAGATGATAAACAAATGTAAAACTTAACCTTCTAAAACTTCTAGAAGAAAACATTGGAGAGAATCTTTGCAAATCATAAATATGACTAAGAACTTGTAGTCAGAATATATGAGACTCTTACAATTCAGTAGTAAGAAAACAACCCAATTAAAAATGGGCAAATGACTTCATTAGACACTTTCTCAAAGAGGACATGTGGATGATAATGAGCACATGAAAAAAGTGTTCAACATCATTAGCCATTAGGGAAATGCAAATTAAAACCACAATTAGGTGTCACTACACACTGGTTAGTATGGCAAAACAAAAACAAAAACATAACCCAGAGAAATGATAATACCAAGTATTGACAAGGATATGGAGCAACTAGAACTCTCATACACTGCTGGTAGAAATGTAAAATGGTACAGTCACTTTGGAAAACAGTTTGGCAGTTTCTTATAAAGTTAAACAACATATACTTACCTGTGTCCCAGAAATCTCACTTCTGCATATTTACCCCGGAGAGATAAATAACTTGTACACGAATGTTTACAGTGGTTTTATTCTCCAGTACCTGTACAGTGTTAGCATATAGTTGGTTCTCCATAAATATTTGTTGAGTAAATGAATGACTTACTGTGATTATTAGTGAGGTTCAACTCTACCCCTCCCCATATTTTATTGGCCATTAATCTCCATGACAGGCAAATGATACCTAAATGATTAGCCTTTTCAAAAAATGATATCACAATGATTGATGTGACAGTGTATCCCAATGATACAATCAATTCTTTTATAAAGAAAGAAACTTCTTTAAGGTAGAATCTACAAACTTGAATATATAAAGAGAGTAACACTATATGTGGCACAGACCTCTAGTACTGAATTATATTGAGACTTAAGTTAATTAAAAAAAATCTTAAATGAAGATGTTTTACTCCCTCACTTTGTTTAATATGCCACTTATTTTCTTAGAAAGTATCATCAGAATTACAGTGTCTTCTCTGATACAGAAGTTTCTGGACCCATTTAAAGATCTATGGCAGAGATTGTAAATTGGCAGCTGTTGAGTGAATTTGACCACAGATGTGTTTTGTTTGGCTTGCAGAGTATTGGTCAAACGTAAGATATGGACCAGCATTTCACTCACTGCAAAAACTGGCTAGAATTGAGTAGTATTTCACCTTATGGACAGGGAATGTGGTCTCCAGTTTGCCATAGCTCCTACCACTCCATATTGTTTACCCAACAGTAAGGCCAAATGTGGGTTACCATATCATTGTGCTTGTGCTTTTGTTTTTCTTATACCTGGCCCCCTCATTCACTTATGATGCTTCTCAGACTGTAGTATTTCATGATGATAGACTAACTTTAAAGATATAAAAATGTTAAAAATATCTGCTAACATGGTTAACATGGGTATTTTCTTAACGTAGTGTCTTCATTGGCTCCTCTGGCATGGAGCTGATCTCTCACGAGCAACCATGAGAGGTTGGACAGCAGCTCACATAGCTGCCATCAGGGGACAGGATGCTTGCATGCAGGTAATAATAACTTTGGTTACTTTTTTTAAAAATTCAATAAGTTTAATTACTTTAGCATAGTTCTGTTGGGCTACTGCCTTTATTCTAATAATTTGATCCCATAGACTTAGTAGTTCTGTGTTCTAAACAAAAACTTACTGGATTCCAGGACTCATATTTTGGTACCAACTGTCACTCAGACAGATTGTATAAGATCGGAAATTATATTATCTCTAAAGCAGTTGGCTATCTGTTTGGGTTGTTTTAAGGGATGTCATAGTCATGCCCAGATTATCTTCTTTATAGCTTGCCATGCCTAAAATTCCTCATTTAATGTATTTCCTGGCCAGAGTTATACATTAATATGTGGCAGGATCTAGTTTATTAGAGTAAATAGACTTAATCAATGTTGTGAAATGGACTGGAGCTTCGAGGAATACAAAATCATATAAGCAAACAGTCCCTGCCTATAAGAAGCCTGAGATTCTATTGGGAATGACAGTAGCTTTACTCAGTGAGTTACAAAACAGTACAAATCACAGTCTCTGAGTAAGGTTCTCATGAAAAGTATAGATGAGAAAAACTGTAGAACTTAAGAGAAGATAAGGGAATCATAAATGGAGGAAATGAAACTTCAGCTAACCCTAAAAGAATGGGTCGATTTTAAAAAGATAAGTAGTGAAGAAGCATTGTAGGTAGGGACGGTGTCAGGAGCAAATAAAAATAATGATTTTAATTTATTGAGCACTTTTTATGTGTCAATCACCATCTCCCATGCATCACTTCATTTAATACAATAATCTTATGAGTTTCCCTTCATGTAGATTAGGAAACAGATTCAGAGAGTTAAGTTTGTTGCTTAAGTTAGTGACAAAGCCAGGGTTTGAACCCAGACTTTGTCCCATTAACCTTTATGCCGTAATTCTATGTGAAATCTTTGAATTGGAAAAATGAAGTGTGTTCAAGGAATATACCATTATATGAGTTTGACTGAGTGTAGATGATTTGTTCTGAACTAAGTTTAGATAAAGCCAGACTTGTAAAATGTCTTAGGAATAGAATAAAGATTCATTTGTATAGGAAAGAGAATTTTATATGTATACTATACACATGTATATGTGTGTATATATATGTATATACACACACATACATACATACACACACATGCACATAGACATTAACAGGGGAATGTAGTAATGAAAACAATATTTCAGGAAATTATTCTAGCAAGATGTATCCAGGATTATGTAGGATGAAGAGGGTGTTTGGAAGCAAAATAATCAGAGACTTTTGATATTATCACTAACCATAGAGGGTGAGATTAGTTGGTGGCAGTGGGAAACAAAGAAAATTATTTAAAACATCTTGCATAGCAGGCATTGGCAAAGTAGTGAGACTGTAAGGTTTTGAGTCAGAACGACAGATAATTATGGCACTATAGATAGGGACATCTGAAAGGCAGGGGAGGTTCGGGAGGAAGGATGTTGAGTTCAACTTCGGCCCATGTTGAGTTTAAGGTGCCTATAGGTCATTCGGGTGCCGAAGGACAGGGCAGTTGAAAAGGACACTGGTGACAAAGATTTCAGGAGTAATAAAGCTTAGAGAAGAGTACAGAGTACTGAGGATTGAATGGTGAAAAATGTTACTAGTAGGGATGGGAGGAAGCAGCGAAATGAGTAAGGAGTTCAGAGGAGAAAGAGAGATAGAGAGTCAGGACCCATTAGCGCTGTGCAAATGAAGGAAGAAGTTGAAGTCAGGCAGAGTATCACTTACAGAATAAAACCAAGGGGAATAGCACTTAAGGAAATGCCATTGAACTAGCGAACTCTCTATAGGGAGAGGTTGGCTATATTTCTATGCAGTGATAGGGACAGCACCCAATTTGCAGGTGGATTTGAAGTCGAGGCATTGAGGTATTTGAAAAGTAGGCAGTGAAAGAAAGGAGCAAATACAATAGTAACTTAAGGGGATATCAGGGTCAAATGAAGCTTTACTTGTTGCTTTCCTTCCTCTAAGCATTAGTTTAACCCACTCCCTCTCCTTGATTGTCCTTCTGTTCCCCAAAGTGATCTCTTCATTCTTAGAGCTTTTGTGATGCTTTGGGGTACTATACTTTGTAGTTGTTACTTACCAAGGACTGCTTTGTATAGTTGATTGTCTTTGTCTCTACATGTGTCCTAATTCCCTAAGTTGATATATCTTCATATTCTTTGTAGTGACATAGTAAGCACTCAGTATATGGTTTGTGATGATTATTGACTAGTTTGTTAATGGGAGTCAGGCAAAATCATGGATACTGTTCTTCCTAAAACTCTTGGTAGGAATTATGACTAAGTAAACTTTTGCTGAGATGCTGGTAAATATAGCCTGGTTAAAAGAAAAAAAGTCTGAGGGAGATAAAACTGAAAAATATTTGCTAATAATTTTTTAAACCAATTACTCTGTATATTATATAAAGGGGTGTGTTGTGTATATGATATAACCCATATACAGAAATTGGGCCAATTGTAAATTCAGATGGAATCTCCCCAGATGCTGTTAGAATTTTGATTTGGAGCTTAGAACTGGTTACTTTAGTAATGAAATCCTTTTATTGTATTCAAAACCCAGTTAATAAAAGATTCTGCTTTTGAAATAGAGGAAGTTTAAATTTCAATTTTATTAGCTTAGCATTAAATTATTTAACTTAGTGGTTGTTAATCTGTGCTCATGAAAAGTTTGTTTTATAAATTGTATGTACATGCTCAAATCAGAATGTGAAATTGGGTATACATGTCTCCTAGGCAATGTTAAAAAGGATCTCAAGCATTTTCTTAGGACTAGCTAAGAATTTCTCACACTTTGTGTGTAGCACACATGTAAGAATTTACATAATAGCTTAGCTATAGGTTAACAAATTCCTTGCCTTTAAATAATCTGCATCTGCATTTATGATTTAACATCTATCTTCATATAAACTCATTCTTATGTCTCTACTTTCAGACTCTTATAATTAATGGAGCTAATCTGGCAGCTCAAGATGATCGTGGATGCACTCCTTTACACCTTGCGACAACACACGGACATTCTTTCACTTTACAAATAATGCTCCGAAGTGGAGTGGTGAGGGATTCCTGTTAATAAGTGAGAATGTATAATGATATGGACTATAGTCCATACAGTCCATATCATATGGACTAACATTTGGTAGTCTGGTTATCTCTTCCTGACTTTGTAAATCCCTTATGTGACTTTGAGGAAGTAATTTGATCTCTCTCTTTAGCTTTTCTATCTTTAAACATGGGAGCAATAATTTAGATAAATCATCAACAACAACAACAAAAACAGCTTAATGGTACAAAATATTTCAGAGGCTATGAATTCTTCATGTTAGTTCAGAGTTTAACAGGGAAGATTCTGAAGCTTCCAGACACATCTTAACCAGGGATTGTAAATCTTTCTGACTTGCTGTGTGTTTACCTGTTTCTTTGGTAACTCTTATTTCATACACTAATTTAGAAAGTGATTTATATCTCCAGAAATTTCATTTATTGTGATATTTATTTTTAATATTACCCAGTGGCTGTAAAAAGTAACTTCTTATAAGAGTTAAATATTTTTTCATTAACTCTTTGGTTATGCTCCCAAGGATAATATTTGATCATTTGAATCCATCTCTTTCATTTTATTGGTCAGGAACTTGTGACCAGTAAAATGACTAGTTAAGTTCCTTTTTAAAAAGAACCGATTTTTATGTGGCTAGTTATGTTCTTTTTTAAAAGACTTTATAATTTCATTTGTATATTATTAGCTCATATGTTCAAATCAGTGGTTGCAGTAAATATTTCTATGATATTTAGTGTTTGCCTTATAGTTTTAAGGACAGCCTCCAATTCTCATTTGCAGAATTAAGCTGCTAGACTTAGTGTTTCCCCTACAAAACGTAAAAGAACTGAGTCCTTGTGAATGTTACCTCTAGGATCCCAGCGTGACTGATAAGAGAGAGTGGAAACCTGTGCATTATGCAGCTTTTCATGGGCGGCTTGGCTGTCTGCAACTTCTCATTAAATGGGGATGTAGCATAGAAGATGTGGACTACAATGGAAACCTTCCAGGTATTCGCAAAAGCAAATATTTTGTTTTTCTATTAATGTAAACTTTAACAATGTTTGATCATGTTTAAGAAATTTGAACTGTCATCATTCTGATATTTCCTAACAAAACTAAAGTAGTAAATATGTTGACATGAACATTTTTTATCTTATATTATGTCTATGTTATGTACCCATCATGTGACTGATTTTTTTTTCTGGAACCATATTAGCAAAAGAGAAATATCCAAAATTAAACTTGGATTTACTCTTCCCACCAGCTGTTTCCCTCATCTACTCTCTAGTGTTATTGTTTTTTAACTTCATATGTCTCTTCCCCACAGATTACTTAAAAAAGTAATAGTACAGATAGTGGACACTAGTGTATTTGAGTTAATTTGCTAATTGCAGTTGTCTAGCCTGCGGTCAACTAGCCAGCTGAGACCTATACTCTTAAGTACCCTGTCTTCTTCTAAGAGGTGCTGTAGAAGTTCAGAAGAGAGTTAGACCACAGTGAGATTGGTTACTGAAACAATACTTGAACTATGTCTTAAAGGAATCTTAGGTAGCAAACAAATGAAGGGGAAGTCCAGGCAAAATAATCACTTTGATTATTAAAAACTCCCTAGATCCCAGTGGATCTCTGATTACTTAGCTTGGCATGCTGGGCCTTCATAATTTGGCTCTGACTTTCCTCCCTGCCCTCATCTTCCATCCCTTGACACTGCTATCTTGGATCATTTTGCTTCTTTCTGAAGGACATCCTTTAGTGTTCATTTAGTGAAGGTTTGTTGGTATGACCCTCTCGATTTTTGTGTATCTGGAAGTAACTCTTTTACTCTCAGTCTTTTTAAAAAAATTTTTATTTTTGACATATACATACAGAAAAACACCCAATTCAGATGCACAGCTCACTAAATTTTCACAAGTGAACACTTCTCTGTGACCATCAGCTAAATCAAGAAACGGGGTAGTCTCCTTTGTGTCCTCTTTCTAGTTACTGCCAACTTCCAAAGTTAATCACTACCTTGACTTCCAACATAAAAATTAGTATTGTTTTTTTTCTGAACTCCATGGAATAAAATAATACACTGGTGTCCGTTTGTGTGTGGCTTCTTTTGACTTTCCAAAGTGGTTGTTATCAATTTATACACCCACAGGCAGTGTTTAAGGCTTTCAGTTACTCCACTTTCTCATCAGCACTTGACACTATCAGTTTTTTTAGTTTTCGTCATTCTTTTGAGTGTATAGTAATATCTCATTGTGGTTGTAATTTGAATTTTCTCTGATGACTAGAGATGTAGAACATCATTTCATATGATTAATGGCTGTTTAGTTATTTTCTTCTGTGAAATACCAGTTTGAAGCTTCTGCACTTTTTTTTTTTTTTAACTATACGCGGGCCTGTCACTGTTGTGGCCTCTCCTGCTGTGGAGCACAGGCTCTGGACGCGCAGGCTCAGTGGCCATGGCTCATGGGCCCAGCCGCTCCGCGGCATGTGGGATCTTCCCTGACCAGGGCACGAACCCATGTCCCCTGCGTCGGCAGGCAGACTCTCAACCACTGCGCCACCAGGGAAGCCCTGCATTTTTTTTTTTTTTTTTTTATTGAGTTGTTCCTCTTTTTTTCTAATTGAGTTGTAGGGGTTCTTTATATATTCTAACCACAAGCTCTTTGTCACTTACATGTGTTGCAAATATCTTTTCCTTTTAAGTATCCTTTCCATTCTATTGTCTTGCCTTTTCATTCTTTTAAGATATCTTTTGATGAACAGAAGTTTTCATTTTACTGTAGTCCAGTTTAATAAGCTCTTCCTTTATGGTTAGTACTTTCTGAATCCTGTGGAAAAAAAGTAAGGAAAGACTTTTTTTAACAGGATTCAGAAAGTCTTCATTTCATGAAGACATTCTTTTATATTATCTTCTAGGAATTTTATTTTCACATTTCCACCTGGAATTGACTTTTCTTCAATACAAGGTAGGGGGGAATTTCATTTTTATTTAGTTCTTTATTGAATTTGCCTGATCACTTTGTTAGTCTCTTGTTGCCCGCTCATTGAAAAAAAAATCAACTTTTATTTCCTTAAACATGTATAATTATTTTATAACCATGTGTAGTATATTTTTTAATAGTATAAGGTAGAGGTTAAGAATGTGGCCTCAGGACTAGACTGCTTATATTCAGACCTCTCTGTTAAAAACTATTAATTCAAAATTTATTAAGCATCTGTGTGTCAGTCCCTAGGTGCTGGGGATATCACTGCAAATAAAACAGACAAAAGTCTCTGCCTTTGTGTGTGGTGAGGTGGGAGACAGACAATAATAAAAATGAATTAACAGAATATATATTGTATTAAATAGGGATATGTGTTTAGATTAAATAGCAAAGGGGAGTAGAGTGTTACAGGGGATGAAGTTTGAAATAGGGTAGTCAGGGAAGCCTTCACTGAAGAGGTGACATTTGGGTGAAGACTTGGAGTTGAGGGAGCAAGTCTTGATATCCTGGGGGACGAACATTTTAGGAAGATGTAACAGCAATGTGTAAAGCTCCTGAGGCAGGGTCATGCCTTGCGTATTTGAGTAACAGCAAGTCAGTGTGGTTGGAACAGAAGTGAGGGTGTAATAGATGATGAGGTCAGAGAGGTAACAAGAGCCATTGAAGCATTTTGAGCGTGGGAGTGACATGATCTATGTTTAAAACCATCATTTTGGCTATTGTGTTTATAATACTAGATTGTAGTGAGGGTGTGGGCGTGAGTGGTTAGGAGCTTGATGCAATAATTTAGGTTACTGTTTGGTTGGACTAGATAATGAGAAGTAATTGGGGTCTGTGTATCTTTTACAGATAGAGCCAGTAAGATTTGCTGATTGATTAGATGTGGGGAGTGACAGAAATGGGAGTCAAGGATGGCTCCAGGGTTTTTGGCTTGACCTTCATGGAAAGGAGAGCATTTCCATTAACTGAGATGGAGAAAGCTGTGTAAGGAATATGTATGCAAAAAGGGTAAGGAGTTCAGTTTTTGACCTGTTAAGTTTGAAATGCCTATGATACATTTCATGTATATGATGAGTAAGCAGTTAGAGGAGTCTGAACTTTCAGAGGGAGTTTTTTAGTGGAAGGTTCAGCTGAGAAAGTGTACACTGTCATGTGCTAACTACTTGTGGACATTGTTACTTAATTGATTCTCCTGAGTTTTACTGGTGACTTGGGCACTGCCCTACTTCTCCAGAGCCAAGATTTGTATACAAATTGGAGTCTTTCCCAAATAGTCACTTCTCAAGAGGTGTAAAGGCTCTCTTGTTCTTTGTGATCATTGCCTCTAAGCTTGTAATACCCCAGAACCATTCCTGTTTTTTGCAGCTTTTGGGTTATGGCTGTCCCTCAATCTGATTCATTATATTGATATATTCTTTCAGGGATTCCTTAACATTTCTTGTCTGTTCGTGGTGTTCTTGTCTGTTTTTCTTGCCCTTTATGGCTTTAAAAAATATCTTTCTATTATTTTCAAGAATTTAAGAGAAGAAATGGTGAGATAGTGTGTGTGCTTAGTCTGCAGTTTTGATCTAGTCTTCTTGTTTATAATAAAAATAATGTTTATGAAAAAGTGACAAAATACATAGTGATAAAAATAACATCACCCCTATTTGCATAGTGACTATTTTGGTTTATTTCTTCCACTTTTTTCCAAAATATTAAGATAAATTTATCTATCTAGCACCTATATTACATAGAAGGCATTTTTTTCATATAATTATAAGCTGCGCAGTTGGGATTTCACTTTCCAAGAGAATTGTCTGAGACCTGCTCTTTGGTGACCCTCACTTGGCCTCTCTACATTCACAGTAAGTGTAGCTATTCAACCATTTAATCTACTGCTGTGGCTTGACTAGAAGGCTGACTGAGTAAGGACATGTAAGCTGGAAAAATGGTCTGTTATCCTTGCATCCAGAGTACATCTCTGTTATATAGGATAGGGATAGTTGTCTCCCTAGGAGGTTTAGAGTTAATGTGTTGTTTCTTTTTTCAAGATATTTTATTGTCAATTTAAAATTAAATTATTATTATTTTTTCTCTCACCTATAGTTCACTTAGCAGCCATGGAAGGCCACCTTCACTGTTTTAAATTCCTACTCAGTAGAATGAGCAGTGCCTCCCAAGCTTTGAAAGCCTTCAATGATAATGGAGAAAATGTATTGGACCTAGCCCAGAGGTTCTTTAAGCAGAACATTTTACAGTTTATCCAGGGGGCTGAGTATGAAGGAAATGATCCAAAAGATCAAGAAAGTAAGTAATAAACCTGAAGTGTTTTAGCATTTAATAAGTAGAATAAATGGAGGAGGAAAAGAAAGGAGTTATAAGACATGTTATATTAAAATATGTTATGTATCATTGTCCACACATTCATCCAGATTCTCTTCTTTATATGAAATATTTTAAGCAGAAATATAGAGAGATTAATGTAATATAATGAACACTTCTTTTTTTTTAACATCGTTATTGGAGTATAATTGCTTTACAATGGTGTGTTAGTTTCTGCATTATAACAAATTGAATCAGCTATACATATACATATATCCCCATATCCCCTCCCTTTTGCGTCTCCCTCCCACCCTCCCTATCCCACCCCTGTAGGTGGACACAAAGCAGCGAGCTGATCTCCCTGTGCTATGCGGCTGATTCCCACTAGCTATCTGTTTTACATTTGGTAGTGTATATATGTCCATGCCACTCTCTTACTTCGTCCCAGCTTACCCTTACCCCTCCCCGTGTCCTCAAGGCTGTTCTCTATGTCTGTGTCTTTATTCCTGTCCTGCCCCTAGATTCTTCAGAACCATTTTTTTTTTAGGTTACATATATATGTGTTAGCATACGCTATTTGTTTTTCTCTTTCTGACTTACTTCACTCTGTATGACAGTCTCTAGGTCCATCCACCTCACTACAAATAACTCAATTTCATTTCTTTTTATGGCTGAGTAATATTCCATTGTATATATGTGCCACATCTTCTTTATCCATTCATCTGTCGACGGGCACTTAGGTTGCTTCCATGTCCTGGCTATTGTAAATAGTGCTGCAATGAACACTGTGGTACATGACGCATTTTGAATTACGGTTTTCTCAGGGTATATGCCCAGTAGTGGGATTGCTGGGTCGTATGGTAGTTCTATTTTTAGTTTTATAAGGAACCTCCATACTGTTCTCCATAGTGGCTGTATCAATTTACATTCCCACCAGCAGTGCAAGAGGGTTCCCTTTTCTCCACACCCTCTCCAGCATTTATTGTTTGTAGATTTTTTGATGATGGCCATTCTGACTGGTGTGAGGTGATACCTCATTGTAGTTTTGATTTGCATTTCTCTAATGATTAGTGATGTTGAACATCCTTTCATGTGTTCGTTGGCAATCTGTATATCTTCTTTGGAGAAATGTCTATTTAGGTCTTCTGCCCATTTTTGGATTGGGTTGTTTGGTTTTTTGATATTGAGCTGCATGAGCTGCTTATAAATTTTGGAGATTAATCCTTTGTCAGTTGCTTTGTTTGCAAATATTTTCTCCCATTCTGAGGGTTGTCTTTCGTCTTGTTTATGGTCTCCTTTGCTGTGCAAAAGCTTTTAAGTTTCATTATGTCCCATTTGTTTAGTTTTGTTTTTATTTCCATTTCTCTAGGAGGTGAGTCAAAAAGGATCTTGCTGTGATTTACGTCATAGAGTATTCTGCCTATGTTTTCCTCTAAGAGTTGTATAGTATCTGGCCTTATATTTAGGTCTTTAATCCATTTTGAGTTTATTTTTGTGTATGGTGTTAGGGAGTGTTCTAATATCATTCTTTTGCATGTAGCTGTCGAGTTTTCCCAGCACTACTTATTGAAGAGGCTGTCTTTTCTCCATTGTATATTCTTGCCGCCTTTATCAAAGATAAGGTGCCCATATGTGCGTGGGTTTATCTCTGGGCTTTCTATCCTGTTCCACTGATACATAGTTTTCTTTTGTGCCAGTACCATGCTGTCTTGATTACTGTAGCTTTGTAGTATAGTCTGAAGTCCGGGAGCCTGATTCCTTCAGCTCCATTTTTCTTTCTCAAGATTGCTTTGGCTCTTTGGGGTCTTTTGTGTTTCCATACAAATTGTGAGATTTTTTGTTCTAGTTCTGTGAAAAATGCCATTGGTAGTTTGATAGGGATTGCATTGAATCTGTAGATTGCTTTGGGTAGTATAGTCATTTGACAATGTTGATTCTTCCAATCCAAGAACATGGTATATCTCTCCATCTGTTTGTGCCATCTTTAATTTCTTTCATCATTGCCTTATAGTTTTCTGCATACAGGTCTTTTATCTCGTTAGGTAGGTTTATTCCTAGGTATTTCATTCTTTTTGTTGTGGTAAATGGGAGTGTTTCCTTAGTTTCTCTTTAAGATTTTTTGTCATTACTGTATAGGAATGCAAGAGATTTCTGTGGTTTAATTTTGTATCCTGCTACTTTACCAAATTCATTGATTAGCTCTAGTAGTTTTCTGGTAGCATCTTTAGGATTCTCTACGTATAGTATCATGTCATCTGCAAACAGTGACAGTTTTACTTCTTTTCCAATTTGGATTCCTTTTATTTCTTTTTCTTCTCTGTTTGCTGTGGCTAAAACTTCCAAAACTATGTTGAATAATAGTGGTGTGAGTGGGCAACCTTTTCTTGTTCCTGATCTTAGTGGAAATGTTTTCAGTTTTTCACCATTGAGGATGATGTTGGCTGTGGGTTTGTCATATATGACCTTTATTATGTTGAGGTAAGTTCTGTCTGTGCCTACTTTCTGGAGGGTTTTTATCATAAATGGGTGTTGAATTTTGTCGAAAGCTTTCTCTGCATCTACTGAGATGATCATATGGTTTATATCCTTCAGTTTGTTAATATGGTTTATCACATTGATTGATTTGCATATATTGAAGAATCCTGGCATTCCTGGGATAAACCCCACTTGATCATGGTGTATGATCCTTTTAATGTGTTGTTGGATTCTGTTGGCTAGTATTTTGTTGAGGATTTTTCCATCTATGTTCATCAGTGATATTGGCCTGTAGTTTTCTTTCTTTGTGACATCTTTGTCTGGTTTTGGTATGAGGGTGATGGTGGTCTCGTAGAATGAGTTTGGGAGTGTACCTCCCTGTGGTATATTTTGGAAGAGTTTGAGAAGGATAGGTGTTAGCTCTTCTCTAAATGTTTGATAGAATTCGCCTGTGAAGCCATCTGGTCCTGGGCTTTTGTTTGTTGGGAGATTTTTTTTTTTTTTTTTTGGAGGTACGCAGGCCTCTCACTGTTGTGGCCTCTCCCATTGCGGAGCACAGGCTCCAGACGTGCAGGCTCAGCAGCCATGGCTCACGGGCCCAGCCACTCCGCGGCATGTGGGATCTTCCTGGACTGGGGCACGAACCCATGTCCCATGCATCGGCAGGCGGACTCTCAACCACTGCGCCACCAGGGAAGCCCTGTTGGAAGATTTTTTATCATAGTTTCGATTTTAGTGCTTATGATTGGTCTGTTTGTTTTCTGTTTCTTCCTGGTTCAGTGTCAGAGGGTTGTGCTTTTCTTAGAATTTGTCCATTTCTTCCAGGTTGTCGATTTTACTGGCTTATAGTTGCTTGTAGTAATCTCTTATGGTCCTTTGTATTTCTGCAGTGTCAGTTGTTATTTCTCCTTTTTCATTTCTAAGTATATTGATTTGAGTCTTCTCCCTATTTTTCTTTATGAGTCTGGCTAATGGTTTATCTATTTTGTTTATCTTCTCTAAGAACCAGCTTTTAATTTTATTGATCTTTGCTGTTGTTTCCTTCATTTCTTTTTCATTTATTTCTGATCTGATCTTTATGATTTCTTTCCTTCTGCTAACTGTGGGGTTTTTTTGTTCTTCTTTCTCTAATTGCTTTAGGTGTAAGGTTAGGTTGTTTATTTGAGATTTTTCTTGTTTCTTGAGGTAGGATTGTATTGCATAAACTTCCCTCTTAGAACTGCTTTTGCTACACCCCATAGGTTTTGGGTCATCATGTTTTCATTGTCATTTGTTTCTAAGTGTTTTTTGATTTCTTCTTTGATTTCTTCAGTGATCTCTTCGTTTTTAAGTAGTGTATTGTTTAGCCTCCATGTGTTTGTATTTTTTACAGATCTTTTCCTGTAATTGATATTTAGTCTCATAGCATTGTGGTTGGAAAAGATACTTGTTACAATTTCCGTTTACTTATATTTACCAAGGCTTGATTTGTGACCCAAGATATGACTTATCCTGGAGAATGTGCCATGAGCACTTGAGAAGAAAGTGTATTCTGTTATTTTTGGATGGAATGTCCTATAAATATCAATTAAGTCCATCTTGTTTAATGTATCATTTAAAGCTTGTGTTTCCTTATTTATTTTCATTTTGGTTGATCTGTCCATTGGTGAAAGTGGGGTGTTAAAGTCCCCTATTATGATTGTGTTACTGTCAATTTCCCCTTTTATGGCTGGTAGCATTTCCCTTATGTATTGAGGTGCCCCTATGTTGGGTGCATAAATATTTACAGTTGTTATACCTTCTTGGATTGATTTCTTGATCATTATGAAGTGTCCTTCTTTGTCTCTTGTAATAGTCTTTATCTTAAAGTCTATTTTGTCTGATATGATAGTTGCTACTCCAGCTTTCTTTTGATTTCCATTTGCATGGAATATCTTTTTACATCCCCTCACTTTCAGTCTGTATGTGTCCCTAGGTCTGAAGTGGGTCTCTTGTAGACACCATATATATGGGTCTTGTTTTTGTATCCATTCAGCCAGTCTGTGTCTTTTGGTTGGAACATTTAATCCATTTACATTTATGGTAGTTATTGATATGTATGTTCCTGTTACCATTTTCTTAATTGTTTTGGGTTTGTTATTGTAAGTCTTTTCCTTCTTTTATGTTTCCTGCCTAGAGAAGTTTCTTTAGCATTTGTTGTAAAGCTGGTTTGGTGGTACTGAATTCTTAGATTTTGCTTGTCTGTAAAGGTTTTAATTTCTCCGTTGAATCTGAATGAGATCCTTGCTGCGTATTTTTCCCTTTCATCACTTCAAGTATGTCCTGCCACTCTCTTCTGGCTTGCAGAGTGGCTGCTGAAAGATCAGCTGTTAACCTTCTGGGGATTCCCTTGTATGTTATTTGTTGCTTTTGCCTTGCTGCTTTTAATATTTTTTCTTTGTATTTAATTTCTGATAGTTTGATTAATATGTGTCTTGGGCATATGTGTCTTGGCATGTTTCTCCTTGGATTTATCCTGTATGGGACTCTGC